GGTTAATAAGGGTCGTCTGACTACTATTCATCGTTTACACGCCGCCCACATAGCAAGGTCAGCGTTTAGAGGTTCTTGTGTTGGGGAAAGGGAAGGAATTGGGTTAGGTTGTGGGCGTTGATCAGAGGTCAGATACATGGAGTGATAATTGCTGCTATTTGCATGAAGCGGACTGCTGTCACTAGGGGGTGGGGCCCAAATGCGATCGCTACCTGTCGTCGGGGTCGGCCACGGAAGTGCAAGGGCTTGTGTGAGCAACTTCTGGCAACACAGCACTGGATTCGCTAGCCGTATAGCCACTGCTTCGACTGTTGCGAGCACCCGTTGGCGTAGGCCCTTGGAAAGTCAGCTGGTGTCTGGTAGACAGCCTGAAAGGCTTCGTTAGTATCGACTCGATGATTCATATCGTCAAGACGCGCGAGAATAGAACTCGAGATCGACCTAGTTTCACCATTACTTAACGAGGCCGGTATGTGCTCACGTACCCTCTTTTCCAGGTGCTTCGTTTTTCGGTCGATGTATTCTGCTCCACGGGAGCAAGTGAAAAAGTAAATGCACATGGATGTGGCCTTCAACGGGAGTCGGTTGTTTGGGAGAAGTTGTAGTATATAATTCCAAAACTGACAGCACTACCAATAACGGTTGGCTGGATCTGGGCTGTAGTAACAACGTTTTTGGCACGCCATATCTTGCTATCTTGGCTCTCATTTAAAACTGCACTTATGGCAGCAACTTACGGCATTCTGTGTAATCTGTTGACCACTTTAAACGGGGAAATGGCCTATTCTGACGAGAGAATCCTTCCAGTTTATATGCCGGTGAATTATCTGTCTCTTTCCTGCAGATTGCAGATTTAATAGTTCACTAAATACTCTCAATGACACACTAACAGAGTTAGCTGGAGTACCTACAAATCTCTTCAAGAAGTACTTCTTAAAGCAAGTAGCTTAGTCGGAAGGAATCACGAAATTGTGCAAAACAACCATCTATAAGAAAAGCAATATGATACCGTTTCTGGTTCCGCCTGCGTATTCGATACCATTTCTTACAACACAGCAATCTTCTCTCTTATCTGATGTCTTTTTTTCTATTCACAGGAAATGCAGGAATTTTCCACTCTCATGCAACGTGAATCCACTCAAGAAACGGTGTCCATTTTCCGCACAGAGATTATGCAAGTTTTGCGGGAAATTCAAATAGAATATGAGCAGAGACTGGAGGCTGCCAAAACGGATATCCAAGCGGCATTTGATGTGAAAACTCAAATGTTGAAGAAAGTTCATGCAAGCGATGGCAAGGAGCGGGATCAGTACCGGGAGGAGAACTCAAAACTGCGCGCTCTTGTGATGGAACAACGAAAGAAGCTGCGGGCTCTGGAAGAAGGGGTTGGTGTTAAGTTTGTTCGTTTTTCACATACTAGTAGGGTGGAATCTTACTTTTGGTCCCAGAAATTGTTTAAATAATCTCATGTTTTGCAAAAAAATAGCGCAACATGAATAAACACTTACATGTCTAACTTACTTATAGTTTATTGGGTATGACAAATGTGGACACGTTTTATTAACTTATACTTCATGCTTTTCGGTCTTTCCCCAGAATATGTTCCTGGAGCGAACTCTCCGGGATCTCCAGAATGACAACTCTGATCGCCTAAGGAGTGGAGACAGAACCCAACAGCATTTGACTCTCGATTTAAATAATTGCCAAATGGAGCTTCAACGACTAAGGCTGGATTTCGAGGCGCTGCTGGACTCCAAACTCGGACTGGAGATGGAAATCGCCTCGTATAGACGCCTTCTTGAATGTGAAGAGAAAAGGTTTCTGTGGCGTTGCTAGTGTCTCCCGATAACAGGCCTTTTGATAGACCGTACCCTTTTTTTGTTTGCGAAGATGCTCTGCTAACGGCGTTTTTATGGATAACAACTGTATCGGGCACCCTCAGGAGGTCGACTATGGCTAGTCCCCAGCAGATAGGTCAACCTTTCCTGAGATGAAACTGGACGGGAACTTTGACCGCAGTTGGTAACGGGATATAATGGTGCAAATGGACGCGTAACTGTAGTCTGTGTCCATTTCATACAAATAGTTTAATCAGCCATAAGGGGAATAATCTGCCAAGCTAAAATGCGCTACATGACAGGCGACCGGAAATATAAGTAATTGACAGTGGACAAGTGGGCGTAAAGGCTGAGGTTTTCATTTTAACTGGAGCCTCGATTCAAAATGTGCGAAGTGAATTATTGAAGAGCAAGCAGTCATGTAGGTCTTGTCATGACCCTATTGCGTAGTATTAAGGCTAATAAGGTTAACCCTAACGGCAGCGATCTTCTAGGCCCGGTTCCTTAGGAGGAAAGAGAAGTCATGGGAAGGCCAGAGCGGCAGGAAGAGTGTATTCTGTACAGAAGGGCGGGAAGAATAAGTAGGAGGAGATTTGACTCGAACGATTGCAGATCTGCACCAGAGCGAGGCAGTGTCCGAAGTAAGGTCTGGGGGCAGAAAACGCATTGAGGTCTGTGTCCAGACGAATTGAGGCCAACCTACTAAACGAGGCTAGTCTACTAACGTGGGAATCTCATTAGACGGATTGAGGTCAGGACGCGGGAAGCAAGGTGCGCACGTTTAGGCCTGTTCAAAGGCACTCCGAAAACTGTTTTTGCGCGAGGTTCTTTGTTCTGAGTGACCTTGTCTGTGACGTCATGAGTAAGGACGGCGTCGGGCTGCAGAGGCACTACAATCCTGTTGCTGATTAGCGCAGTTGCAGCCCATTTATTAGAACGTATGCTGAATGTCACTATCCATCAGGCCATATACATATTGGACTTAATTCCATCATCAGAAGTAGGACTCCTGGCACCAGTAACCGGGCTCGAGGGTGTGCTCGCAAGGAACGAGTGAGTCCCGTAAACGATCAGCAAACACCTATCCACCAAAGTATGTGCTCCGTCCAGTATAGACCGAAGATCCTCTCTTAAAATGATTGGGGAATTTCAATGAAATAGTATTACTATCCTTGGGATAAAATTGACCAATACCCATTTCAATGTAGTTTGAGTCAAAGTACTTGGAAGTGAAATCTATGCTCTGATGTATGCGTATTCAAGGTAATTCATGTGCCGTTGTCGCTTCCATCAACAATACGCGCG